TAAAATAAAATAAAATAAAATAAAATAAAATAAAATAAAATAAAATAAAATAAAATAAAATAAAATAAAATAAAATAAAATAAAATAAAATAAAATAAAATAAAATAAAATAAAATAAAATAAAATAAAATAAAATAAAATAAAATAAAATAAAATAAAATAAAATAAAATAGCAACTGCTGTGCAGTACTAAACCGGGCATTACAACGAGACAAATCTTTGTAGAACTGCACAGTACTGTACCGAGTCCAAACATTGTCACTGAGCTTCATTATGCCACTGGCCTGTTTAATCACCATGTGTGGCAAGCAAATTCTTCTCTCTCACTTTGTCTGGATGTGAGGAGCTGGAATCTGAGAGTTCAATAAATAAAAGATGATATGCACAGCTTGAGTTTGAAGTCAGTAACCAACACTACCATCTGATAAATTGTAGGAATCATAGCCCAGCATGCCTCAGAACCATGTTGGTCAAAGATGTTTGCATATTGCATATGAACTGCATGCAGGTGAAATGAAAGTAATATAGAATTATGAAAGTAAATATTCAGTTCATTCTTTAGTGCTTTTGTTGCAACATGAGTCCAGTGAATTGTGCTGACCACATTTTTAAATTGCAATTGCTACATATTGCTTTTTGATCATGACTTGCACATTTCAGAAACATTAGATTATTTAATTCCTGTCCACACCAAGCTAAAATACAGACATCAGTAAAAGTGTGCAAGTGCATGGTCAAATGTTTGTAAAGATATGCACATTTCCAAGAAAAGTTTGTTATTTATACTTCAAAATATGTGCAAACAAAACAGCATACATACTTTTCGAAGGCCACTTTGTACATATAAAACATTTATAAAAAAAGGCCGCAGAACTTGTGCTTCGGAAGCGCCATGTACACTTGAAATTACTGTTATTTGCCCTGAAAAGCGAGCGTATAACAAATTTCATAAATAACTGAGTAGGCAGTCACAGACAGCTGGTGATTTTTCTGCTACAGTATTCCACAGTAACAGTTTTTTTTCCTCTCACTACACTTCTCCCTGGAGGTTTAGACTGATTGTGGAACCTTTTCGTTTAACTTGCCGGTTTGTTTGTGGATGCTGAACACAGACCAGCATGACTGTACAAACATGGCAGTCTGAATGGGGCAGATGCATTTGCAGTGATAGGAGTATATGTGCAAGTGAACAGCTGTGCCCTCAGGTCCTGAAAAATTCAGGTATGCAACTACAATTAAAGATTTTCGTAGGCTTGAGTGAGCCCTCATAAATCTGTCCCAGCATTCACAGGCAGATGGCTTAGGGAATTAAGCATTAAGTGAACGTAACAGAGTTGCTATTAACTCCTAAAGATTAAGTTCTTCTCATTTTGTTTTCTGTACTATTGCATGCACAATGCACATCTATTCAAAGTGTGCCATTATTAAAACAGCTTTCATCTACTCCATTATATAAGAATATAATAGACATACTTAAAAGAGAGTGAACAAAATGAGTCAGTACATTCTTAAATATGAAGCTCAAGAATCAAAAATGTACATTAGTATTTGCTATTATCATAAATAACAATTATGCTTTCTCAGGAATATCTTTCTTGACAGTGTATTATTATTATAATTAATTAAACTTGACAATACAAAATAGAGGGTAATTAAAGCAAGTTTTCCCACTCTCTAAATTTTCCCTATGAGAGAAAAGGCCATACGGGATAATCATGGCCAAAAAAAAAAGGAAGGCTTGAGTGGCACTGAATGGCACAGTAATTTCCTTCCTGTTACAGTGCATTATCCTGTAGGAACAGAGTCTCATGGACACAGAAGTGTTTCGTTTCAATCAATTTGTCAGTCTGGAAATGAAAGAACAGACTGACTCAGGTATTTGCAGATTGGTTTAAAGCTTACGGGCCAGTTGGTCTCAAAGTTTATTACGAATCTGAGGGGTAGGTTTAACAAATTTCGGATGATGTTTTCAAAGATGGATTTGAGCCTTGACGGTCTGAGCCACACAAAGCTATTTCAATCAGTCCTGCCCCCTCCCAGTCTTTAAAGGCAGGGTTTCAAAAACATCAAAAACACTTTAGAAAACTGATTCGGGCCGAATCGCAAAACAAACTTGTAGCCAATCAGGCGTGTCTAAGAGATGGCGGATAAAAAACAAAAGAGGAAAATGTCTGCGGAACGATAAGGCAAGAAGTAGGACCCGTGTAAATATCGGATCAGCTTTCCAGCGCTGGAGAGAACTCAAGGAGCGGAGGCCTGCGATCGGACGCCGAGGTTGCTATGTTTCTTCTCAGTAGGTGAGTAACACCGTGTCTACAACAGCTAAAGTCTGCCTACACTGGACGCGATCAAACGACCGTTGAAAACCATTTGAAATTTGTGTCAGCACGTCATAAATAGAACCTGGCAGCAGTTTTCTGTCGGGATTTGTTGAGCCGCGCCGCTTACGTCCGTAGACACGGTGTAACATTGGTTTTGCTTTGTTTCACAGAACTAATCGTTGCCTGGGTTGCATACGTATATTTGGGGCGGAGCTATCAAAATAGGGGCAAGACCCTTTTGGGGTAGGGGCGTGTTTGTTTTGGTGATTTCAAATATCAACATTGGCTACCAGAAATCCCTTACTCTGCCTTTAAAGTCAGTTTTGTGTCCTGCCTGAACATTCTGAATCAACAGTAGCTAAAGCCTAATTTATTCAAAATAATCTTTAAAAACGTGATTATGTAGTCATTTTGTAAAGATTGTGACGGACATTCAAATTACTCGCTAAACATTTCTCTCCATATTTAACTACCTCTGATTACTTTTGAGAATCCTATTAAACATGCTTGATTTTTTTAATCAGCACCTTTGAATACATATTGAAATTAGGAGCAGTGCAGAGAAGAGAAGAGAGAATTACTCTGATAGTGCCAGCCAAACTCCTACATGTAGAATCAGTGTGGCTCTTGGGGTTTCAATAACCAATCAAAACCAATCATGTCTTCTCAGCTACCTTTTATGTGGCTCTCTCAACAAAACCTGAATCATCAAAACACCCAAAACCATATGCTACAAAGTAAGAACAAAACCGCACTGCATACAATGACTAAGACCAGTTAATACTGTTTTAATCCTGCCTGGGGTAGAAAAAAAAAACACACCGCCATCAAACTTTATGTAATCAGGTTACATTCATAAGCTGCAGCAGACCCATTTAAAAACAAAAAGCGGGGTTTCATACTGTGATGGTGTTATTACATCTCTCAGTGGAAACAAAGCATTCACTGGAAACCTCTCCTTACTTTCTACAGTTAATCAAGCCTCACAAAAGCAGCAACTCTACCATCAGATATACGCTACACTTGACTCTTGACAGACTGATATGGCTTTTGTGTGTGCGGCTGGCGCACTTTAGCTGAAGGTGCAATTTAATATTTATGCCGGGCGCTGAACGCTCAGTGGGGCTGCTGTTTTGTTTTTTTTAACTAAGGGCCTTCTTTTTATCCCAGAGCGATTATGTTGTTGATTTGACTATGAAAAGGCTTAAGCTACAGGAAGTCCTAGGCAAAAACAGTGGCGTTAGATCTTGCAGGTGCGTTCAAGTTTAATATGCTGCTCATTGCTCATACGGAATCACATGGAAAATCTTTAATAAGTTGTTATACATGAAGAGAAGAAGTCTACGAGTGCATCATGTTTGCAATGGAACGGATTGCTGAATTTTTGTTTAGAAGAAAAAAATCAGGATCCTGCAAGAGAGGATCATGGAAAAGCCAAAGCTATACCCTTCCTGAATCCAGGTACTGTAAAAAGGGATGTTTTTAGTAAAATTGGTGTTTGTTTATTTGTATATCTATTTAGTATTTTGTTAAGGCTTCTACTGAATGTATTACTGCATTGAAAAATATTTAATCTTCCAAATTTAGTTCTATTTTTTAAAAGCCATCTTGAAGTATACACTGTAAAAAATGACTAATTGTAAGTGTAAAAGATTGAAAAAATGCTATGGTAAAAATATGCTAATTGGTTATTGTAAGTCCCCTTATTATATACAGGGGGAACTGAAATAGATTTTACAGTAAAATGCTATTAAATGTTCAATTTTTGGAGGTAAAAAAGAACAAGTCATCTTATAATTTACAGGGTAAAAACTATAAAAAAGATGTTATTATATGTGTTATTATAGTGGTTGTCGGTATATATTAATGGTACAGTATGTTTCTATAACTGTAATATTTACATGTTGTTCTGTACGTATTTTTACGCTATTTTAACAGAATTATTCTGGCAACCACAGCTGCCAATTTATTCTGTAAAAAATTACAGGATTTTTTTTTTGCAGTGTAGGACACAATGCCCTCAAACTAAGCATTAAATTCACACATAATATTGTCTATACAGCTTGACATCTATAATATAATGATTTAAGATATTCTCACATTTTGTTCTCACACTTTTTCCACACATTTAATTCCCTTCTTTTTCTGACATACAGCTGAAAGCTGTAATTTTCTTAACGTTGATTGGTAGGAAAAAACGTGCGTTTATCACTGCTGGTATGACACGCTGTGCGGTACGGGGGAGCGCAATTGTGATCATGAAAACATCACGCTATGACAGCTAATTATAGTGGAGTGACAGCAGAAATGAAATCTCTTTTGTTCCACAGGCCCCTGGAGAACAAGTCTATCCATCTGAGCCAGTGCCAGGAGAGGAAAACCCATCTATTGCCACCCTCCTCGCTCCTGCCAGGTTCAGCCTCCCCTCAGTCCTCATCGCCCCTGCGGACCACCTCAACTCCTCTGCCCAAGCCCACCAGAGACTCCTGTCAAGGTGGCGTGAGTGTGAGGAAACGCCGGCGCCTGGCAGCCAGCCCCGGAGGACTGCACTGGGACGTTTCAGGTATGCCAATCACAAACTGCATCCATTCATCATAGTCTCCGATACCAACTCCTCTCCAAAACTCGTTTGGCTCTCAATATGCATGATTGTGCCAGTGCTGTGGTTTGAAACTTTTTTCAAGCAAATACGTATGTGTAGTATTTCAATGTCTGAACTACTGTATTTGAGTTTGAGGAACCACATTTGGAGGTCTTGTGGTTCTTGAATGGATTGATTTCTTGGCTCTCTATGTTTTGCCAAGCATTGCTGTTTGTTTTAATTTGCTTGATTGCCTGTTACATCCAATTTCATCAAGCAATTTGCACAGTTTGACATACATATTTGTGAAATTCGAGGGCGAAGGTTCTCTGCAAAATTAATGACTCGAGTAATCTGGCTAATTGCTTCTGCCGGGAATGATACTCTCACTGTGTTTGTTGCAATTACCAAAAGTAAATGGCTGATGCTGTGAAATACTTTAGGTATATGAAATGGTAATTTATTATCGCATATTATATTAGACATATCATGTTATTTTAAATAATTAGCATAAATTTTACAATATTCACTACAATGAATTGTACAACACTTCAATGTTGTGCTGAAAATGCTTTGCCTAATTTGGTGTTCCTGGTCAAAAATGGCCTTTTAAAAATTGCTTGTAAATCTCTCTCACTGTGCTATAATATTACCAAATCTTAGATTCAATCTTTTTGTCAACTTTTCTTTCAATTAGCACAGGTTTCATATTTCTTTTTAGCACTGAGTGAGTTTTTGACAATAATTTTTAAATATTTGTGGCAGCAATGTTCACTCAAAAAACTGAGGTACATAAGCATAAGATCAACGAGGTGTAAAATACAAAACCTGTGCTAATTAAAACAAAACAAGTTGATAAAAAGATTGAATCCAATATTTGGCAATTATATAGAAATTTATAACAAATTCTGTCTGTCATTTTTGACTGGGAACACCACAAGTGTAACAAGGTGGTTAAAAAGTCCCCCAAAGGCACAAAAATGATTTGGAAAGTTGAAACCTCCTTAGTAAATTCAGCAATGTGATAACATAAACTAGCATTTCCAGGAAAAAGAAGATCCTTTTGGGGACAAAATGGAGCATAACATGAGGGTTAAAGCAAATTTTAAAATAACAAGGATATCTTAAAAAACATATCATGTGATTCATTTTAGTGTTTTAACAAACTTCATCCAGTGCGGGACTTCATGCTGTGTTGTCAATCGTCAGAGGTGGCACTGTCATTAGTGCTCTTGCTGTATGTGAAAATGACTCCTAATTGCAGGTTTATTTGTGGCACTGCCCTGCAGGCGATGTTCATTAGCGCTATCGCAATAGTAGTGGTGAACCTTTGGATGGCATAATGAGCAATTCATTTTACACTGACTCGTCAAGGAAAACAATATTTTCTGGTACCGAGAGATGAAGAAGAGGCAGTGATATTTATTTAGTCACCCTCCAACCCCGCCTACCCTTCAAAAGAGCATTATCACTATGTTTAGGGGTGGTACGGAATGGCAGGAAACGACTTTTGTTAATGCCATAAACAGCTCTGCCTATCTCTGGAAGAGCGTATGACTGGTATGTAAACCAGTGGATGGTGTGGATGGTGTTACTGGGCACTTGGAAGATTGTTAAAGAGTTTGTTCGTCGTAAAATGTAAATTCTGTCATCAGTTACTCACCCTCATGTCATTCCAAACTCCATTTTATTTCTTCCAAGGAACATAAAAGGAGATTTTAGGCAGAATGTTCACACTTTTCTCCTTAGAAAGAATACAATCTTCGGGTTTGGAATGACATGAGGGTGAGTAAATAATGACAGAATTTTCTGGTGAATTGTGTGAGTGTTGCGAGGCTGCGATCAGAATGCCAAATTAGCATACTACTCTTACTATTGCTACAGTAATTAGTATGTAGTATATACAGTATACAGTGTGCAGATTTTATGTATGTATGGAATTATCTACATTTACCAAAACGTGCAGATAATCTACAGTTATTAAAATGTACTGTACAACAAGACTAGAGTTTTTTTATTTCATTTTTTAAGGATTTTTTTAGGTTCAGAGTGTAACAAAATGTAAAATATATTTTACAGTAAATTTATTAAAATGCAAAATAAATTATCTTATATCCATGATGGACTTAAGATATTGTATCTCTTTTTTTAATTTGTGTTTTTAATGTAGAGGTGGTAAGCGGATTCACTAAACTAAACAACATAGTACTATGAAAACAATTAATAATATAATGTGTAACGTTTTAATATATTTATCATTGCATACTGAATACACTACCATTCAAAAGTTTTTTTTACACTTTTAAGAAATTAATACTTTTATTCAATAAGGATGCCATAAATTGATCGAAAGTGACAGTAAAAACATTTATAAAGTTACAAAATATTTATATTTTAAATCAATGCTGTTTTTTTTTTTTTTTTTTTTTACAAAATGAAAATAACAAAAAAGTATCATGGATTCCCCAAAAATCTTAATCAGCACAAATTGAACATGTTTTCAACATTGATAATAATAATAAGAAATAATTCTTGAGCACCAATTAGCATATTAGAGTGATTTCTGAAGTATCATGTGACACTGAAAACTGGGGGAATGGCTAAAATTGAGCTTTGCCATCACAGGAATACATTACATTATAAAATATATTAAAATAGAAAACAGTTATTTTAAATTGTAATAACATTTCACAATATTACTGTTTTTGCTGTATTTTTGATCAAATAAATGCAGCCTGGGTGAGCATAAGAGACTTCTTTCACAAACTTTTGAATGGTAAGTGTGCACTTTCACATACTATTTTATAAAATACATTAAGAGAATATACTGCATAAAATGAAGTTGACAGTACACTAGTACTCAATTCTGAACATGCATCTGATCAAATCTCAGTTTGATGCAGTGTACTTAGCACAGAAAACATCATTTAATTATTTTTATTTTTTTTAGCACAAGCTTTATCAGATTCAAAGATTTGCAAAACATCAGCCTAGCCATGCCATTGTGAGCATGATGGTAAACAACTATAGTGTTTTCCACACCTTTCTCTGCTTTGTTCTAGTGACTGTTTTCCATTCCTAAATTCATCTTTGGGCTAAAAGTGAAAGACATGAAAAGGAAAGTGGTGTTGATGTGATGCCCCTCTAGGGATTCTGGGATTGTTTCCACAGAAGTGTTCAGTACACATATTGATGTCAGCAGTGGCATCAGAATCAATATTTTATCCAAAGAGCTCCAATGGGTGCTGGGTGTTATCTACCTTTAATGACACCATCGTGTGTAATAGAATGAGTGCTGCGGGAGGATTGTTTTCAGCTACTGGGTTCTCTGTTTTTACCTGGGGACGTGAGATTCAGTCTTAATGTACTAAATGATACAATCAGTGTTAGATAACCCCTGTGTACAGGGAATCGCTAAATGGCACAAGCCGGAAATTATAGCTGAAAGGGTTGTCTGGGTGAAAGCAGTTAAGTCATTCACTCATTTGTTCATTCATAAAATTCTTTTTTTGTTCATTTTTTGTTGTTATTACGGTTTTAGTATGAAAAATCTCTGATTATGTTATAAGAATGTACATTTCTTGTATATTTCATGTATGTCATGTAGGGTATTTAGTTTTTTATTCGATTACATATCAAATTTACATTGTTAGTCCTGTTACACATTTGTACTTTCATTACCAAAAAAGTGTTGTTACTAATGTCCTGTTACACATTTGTATTTACACATACCATTCAGTGGGTTGTTACATGTGTGTAGTTACACAAACATTACAGCTGTAGATACTATGTACCAATGTGTACTTACACTGTGGTTACATACTATGTACACATCTAGTTACTATGTAAGTACACAGGTATTAGGGACACTTAATATAAAGTGGGACCAGATTTTTTAATTAATAGAAAATTCATTTAATTATTTTTTTTATTAAAGAACCTAATACTTTTATTTTAACTTTTTATAAATGTTTTTTGAAGTTTCTATTCCTCAAAGTATCCTGTAAAAACTACTGTCACAGTATCCACAAAAATATTAAGCAGCATAACCGTTTTCAACATTGATAATTATTAAGAAATGTTTCGTTCTTGAGCACCAAATAGAATAATATTAAAATAATTTTTGAAGGATCATGTGAAGACTGGAGTAATGGCTGCTGAAAGTTCAGCTTTGCCATCAAAGGAATAAATTGCATTTTAAAATATATTAAAATAGAACTTTTGTTACTTTAAATTATAATAATATTTCATAATATTACTGTTTTTACTGTATTTTTGATTAAATAAATACTGTATAGCCTTGGTGACTTTTCAATTCATCCGCTGCCCCAGTCATCCAGTAGAGGTCACTATTGCATTTGAGCTTGGGCACAGAAATGAACAGAACCCCTGTTGGTTCTCTTGAAATGATGACTGAGAAGCAAAGAATAGAGTTATTTGTGGTTTTCAACCCACAGCTCTATTAAATGTAAATTCCGTAATTTCTGAACAGGACATAGTGTAGGGCAGTAGAAGCTCGGCCATTTTGTTCCCGCTCCTTTGTTCTTTTCCCATTAAAATGTCAGTTGCCATTCAAACTGTAGCTGGTGATTAACCACACAGCCGTGTTTCAGCATTAAATGGAATTGCAGCCACTTTGTGTTAAATGTCATATGGTTTGCACAGGTACCAATGATGAATATCGCCATTTTTTGCTCATGATGTGTGGTTACATTTGCTAATTGAAAATACATTAAACATGTTTCATGTATCTTAGACCACAGATGTTAAAGCTGCAGTGTGTAATTTCTGAGGCACTTACTGTATATCACCATAAAGAATTGTAAAAATAATGATCACACACTGGCCAACGGTCATCGGTCAGTCATAAAGATAATCCAGCCGCCAGACTCATGCCATTGGTTGAGCAAATGATATTGTGTTAGGCTGTTGATGCGTTGTTACAGCATTGTTAAAAAAGAAGAAATAATAAACTTTTTAAC